CGCTGTCCCTCACGCGGCGGGGCGGATCCCATCCTCTACGTCGGGATCCGCTCCGGCTGCGGCGTCTCCGTATACCGCGAGCTGTAGCTCGCGGTATACTGAGCTTAGGGTAACGGGAGGACGCTAGTTTGTGTCCTCCCGTTGCCCTAAGGAGAACTATGGGGAAAAACACTGACCCCATAGTTCTCCTTTTTAAGATGAATTGTATCCCAGATAGCAAGGATAACTTGCTACAAACTTGTGGCGGGGTGAAATTGTAATTTGTTAACTTGCTGCACATATTCCTGGCAAGTGGTAGACTTCCAGAACACTTGCAGCACAAGTTCTAGTTGACACTTTTTGAATTTGTAGCAAATTTGCTTGGCAAGTCTACAGCAAGAGTCCTGCAGGTCTTAGCAAGAGCTCTGCAAGCTCGCTGGTCTGGAGACTTGCAATGCAGACTTTCTGTAATTGTGCAACAAGCTTGGCAAGTCTGCAATAGTTTAGCAAGTCATTTTAAAACTTGCAGCACAATTACTTGCTATCTGGGATGCCAAGGAGTGTTTGGGGAGGATAGATTTATATTGCCATCATGAGTTTGGCGATTTTAGTTAAAGCTGGTTAAAATTGCATGCAAATTGCTGCTTGCAATCTCAATTTCTCAAGGCTACATATCCCATCATGCATTCCTTCCAGCAAGCAATGATAATGTTACATTGTTTAGATGTTGAATTGTAGTTCACAAGGCAGGCTCTGTGAACGTTGTGAAGCAGGGAAGAGCATATTCACAGGGTTGCATGAATTTGTGTTGGTGCATTGAGGAAGTACATCCTATGGGCATCTTCAGTAAGTTTGCAATCTTCTAGATCGATATGGTTACTAGGAGTGGGATAGAACTTATGGATATAAGACATGTATATTTATTTGTAGTTTTTGACCTTAGATCCCCTTTAATCAGATTGGTGTGTGAGACATCAGTGCAGACTTCACATCAGTCTTTCTGTATGAGAGGGACAGCAAGGAGCCTGCAGTGGGTGTGTTTGGGAATATCTCCTTAGCGGGGGTTCTCTGATATCCAACAAAGGGGACTGAAAGGCTAAGCTTGGATTAAAAAACTCTAGTTCTTGTAATGGGCATCACTGGGGTCGTAAAGGTTCTTGTAATGGGCATCACTGGGGTTGCAAAGGTTCTTGTAATGGGCATCCCTGGGGTTGTAAAGGTTCTTGTAATGGGCATCACTGTGGTTGTAAAGGTTCTTGTAATGGGCATCATTGGGGATGTAAAGGTTCTTGTAATGGGCATCACTGGGGTCGTAAAGGTTCTTGTAATGGGCATCACTGGGGTCGTAAAGGTTCTTGTAATGGGCATCACTGGGGTCGTAAAGGTTCTTGTAATGGGCATTATTGCGGTTGTAAAGGTTTTTGTTAATGGGCATCATTGGGGTTGTAAAGGTTCTTGTAATGAGCATCATTGGGGTTGTAAAGGTTCTTGTAATGGGCATCACTGGGGTCATAAAGGTTTTTGTAATGGATATCACTGGGGTCGTAATGGTTCTTGTGGATATCGGTGGGGTTGTAAAGGTTCTTGTAATCTGCATCACTGAGGCCAAAAAGGTCTTTGTGGGCTCTTACCAGGCGGATGAAAAATCTCCACATTCAGCATAGACATTCCTGAATTCTCCATTTTGTTCACAGGCCTGAGGTTGCTAGAAGGAGGAGACTAGTTGACGAAAACCATGTTAAACCACTTGTGTGGCATGCTTCCAGGCACTTCCATTGAAGTCTGTGGGGCCAGTGCCGTGTAATTCTGTTTGAAAAAAGCTCAGACACTTTTTGCAGGTCAAGCGGCAGCATGACGCTCAGCTGTGAACGGGCACATTTGAATATAAAGAGGAACCTTCATGTTGAGTGTTATCACGCTTTGGGAAGCACATGACTACTCACACAGCTGTGAATAGGGACTTAGGCATTTCTGTGTTTTAAAGTGAAAGTTAACTACCGATTTAAAAAAAATTACCGTCAAGAGTTTTTAGCCCTAATGTTTACAGCATTAGCACAATATGGCAGTCTTGCCTACCAGAGTGATCCCCTTCAGCCCTGCAAAGTCCTTGCTTCCCTGCATTACCGGTGCTTCCATCTTCTAGGTTCACAGCAATCAGCCACTTGGTTGGTCGAGCTGGGATGAAGTAGCTTCTGCAAATGCATACAGGAATTGCTTTTGTCACGCTACAGATTCATGCTGAGACTGCACATGCCTGGCTCGGTCTACACAAACAGAAAAAGCATCTTACACAGTCTCATCTGCCATAAAAAAAAATCTGCCTGCTAGCTTTAACACGTAGGGTCAACTTGTACCGGTTGGTGTGCGATGCCGATGCACCGATCCCAGCACATTGCACTTTATTGAAAACCACAAGTGAAATTTAATTTAGTTGTACGGGCACAGCAAGGCCGTTGTTCCACATTGCATCCTACCGCACTAAAAAAAAACGAAGGCATGTTGTACTTTTTGTCAGCGAGCACCACCAAGTTTCCAACGCAATGCGGTGGTGTGAAAGGTGTCCCATCTGCCCCTTTACAAAACAGCAATCAAACCTATCCTGATACATTTAGTAGCTTTTTATTCCTAGGTTGTAGTTCTGCTGTACAATTCATACAGATTAGATTGTATATCCAAAATCCGTAAAGGAAAAGGCTCTTATATAGCTGACCCAGAAGGATTGAGGTAGTAGTTGGCAGGTTTAGTGTTCTTTTTCACTATATCATTGCGCATGGGAAAGCATATTCTGTAACAATGTGTGCTTTCACTAATGGAGTTATGGAAATAATAGAACAGCTTTTATATTTCGAGGGCCATGCTCTTTTACTTATTACGGCCAAATTAATTTTCTATCCTAAAACACTACTGGTTACGTTTTTTTTATGTGGTATAGAGGGTTAAAACTAGAATTTTAGGACTTGCACATAAATATTATACATAAAACCTCTTCTAGAAATATAATATTAAAGCCCAACTCCAGGCAGAATAATCCTAATGGAGTCCAGTAAGCTGTATAGTGTGTAAACGGACCTGACAAAATTAATCTTCCTCCTCCTACCCCCAAATCTTTAGTATACCTGCAGGGTGAAAGTCCAGTTCCTGCTGAAGCTATGTGCTGTAGTGCTGCAGGTCTCCTTGATCTCAGTGCTGCGTTCTTATCTCTGCCCCCTCTCCTCCTGGCCAATCACAAAATGGAGCCTGGGGCCATTTGCTTTGTGATTTGGCCAGGGGGACAGATGCAGCCACAGTTCTGCAGGTCTCATAGATCTCTGTGCTGCTGTCTTATCTCACCCTGCTCTTCTCCTGGCCAATCACAAAATGGAGCCTGGGGCCATTTGCTTTGTGATTGGCCAGGGGGACAGATGTGACCACAGTTCTGCTGGTCTCATAGATCTCAGTGCGGGTCTTATAGATCTCCGTGCTGCTGTCTTATCTCTGCCCCCTCTCCTGGCCAATCACAAATCGGAGCCTGGGGCCATTTGCTTTGTGATTTGGCCAGGGGGACAGAGATGCGACCACAGTTGTGCAGGTCTCATAGATCTCAGTCCTGTGGTCACATCTCCGCCCCCCCCCCCTCTCCTCACAAAACAGATCTTCGGCCCATTTGCTTTGTGATTGGCCAGGGGGACAGATGTGACCACTGTTCTGCAGGTCTCCGAGATCTCAGTGCGGGTCTCATAGATCTCAGTGCGGGTCTCATAGATCTCAGTGCGGGTCTCATAGATCTCCGTCTTATCTCCGCCCGCTCTTCTCCTGGCCAGTCACAAAACGGAGACTGGTGCCATTTGCTTTGTGATTTGGCCTGGGGGACAGAGATGCGACCACTGTTCTGCAGGTCTCGTAGATCTTAGTGCAGGGTCACATCTCCGCCCCCCTCTCCTCCTGGCCATTCACAAAACAGATCTACGGGCCATTTGCTTTGTGATTGGCCAGGGGGACAGAAATGTGACCACAGTTCGGTAGGCATAAACAGCCGGATAGGGCCCAAAAGTACAGTGGGAGTCTACTATGGGGTGACAGTTGTCTCCCCGCTGTGTTGTCACCCTGTCACATGACCCCTGGTGGAGTCTGCAAGCAGTTGTGCAGACACACGTAGCATGGCATGGTCCACTGTCCATATTTTAGAAAGCCTGCCTTGGGTAATGATTTGCAGCCAATGCTGGAGCAGATGCATGTAGACAAGACGTGGCTGAAGGAGGATGCAGAAGATTAGCATTGTTCAGATGGTTAAAATGATTTAAAAAATGAGAAATCAGTATTATGTGATTCAAATTGCCTCTGCTTATGATGCACAGTGCTTCATCAAATTAAACATTGTCCAGTTTAGATTTACTGTATGTCAGCTTAATGTTGAATACTAGACTTCCTGAATTTGGTTTGTCAGTGATTAGCAATGACTGGTATGTGAAGACACAGAACCACGTTTACTAGTCAAGGAAGATATGAAGAATGCTGAATAGTAAAAAACAAAACCCCAAACTTCTGTGATGACAGGACTAGGGCGTCTCAGGTTTACCATTGAAAATGTGTTTTGTACTTGCCTTTTGTACAAAATGTCTGAAAGAAGTGATTTGTGTTTGTTTTCTCTACAGGAGACTTTGATCACCTACAAGGAGATCCTTCTAAAGTATATATTTGATGGCAGAAAGTTTGTGAATGAAGCCTGCAAGGAGCTTGAACCATGCCATCTTATAGCACTGACGTTTGCCTCCGCATTGGTAACGGTGTGGATTTACAATTTTATCTTCCAAAGAGAGAGTAAGTCTTCCTTCACTAACCTACGACGATTAAAGCTGCATATTTATGGAGTTATTTGCACAGGAAGAAACACAATGGCCTTGCAGTATATTTATCATGACTCTAGCAGGGTTTATTGTACAATTGATAGTTCTTCTCATTTGTCATATGGGTCACATGTTCCTCTCTGAAACTCTTTGTTTACACTGTTTGTACTAGAGGAGGAAGCAGACGCCCTTTCCCTAGCTAGTCCCTTTTTAAAGTCTTACAGCATGTTACCTGTGTGCTCATTGTATTCACCACAGAGCATATGAATAATAAATGTGGTAACCATATGTGCTTTTACATATTAGTGACAAGATTTTCAGTAGTCTGCATCTAAAGCAAGCAGTGATGTTACTTTTGTATTGTTTATCCCATCCTTCTCTATATTTAGGCATATTAGAGGTTCCTGAGGATTTCCACAGTCCTTGGGGCTTTTTAAAGAACTTGAGCAAAAAAATTCATTAAAGGAGAACTATGAGGCGAGTGATAATCACTCATTGCTCTAGCCGACCTGTTACAATGAAACTCTCACAGGTCGGCTCAATAGATCGGGTAGTGAGTGAACACATACCGTTGCTCGCTCACTTCTCGATCTATCCCTGCAGAGAGCCGTGACTGTCACTCACGGCTCCCTGCAGGGATTCCCCCCTCCCCTGTCTGATCCTCCAGCGCTGACTGGCAGAATGGACGGGGGAGGGGGCGGGTACAGCTGGCTCTGCCTCTAGATAGGCAGAGCCAGCTGTCAATCCCGCAGCTGCGTGGATCTCGACAGAAAAATCTCCTATGGGTAACAGCTGCGGCGTCTCAGTATACCGTGAGCTGTAGCTAGTTTGTACCCTCCCGTTACCCTTAGGAGAACTATGGGGAAAAGCCCTAACCCCATAGTTCTCCTTTAACCCTTGCAGTGGGGTTACCCCTGCACCTTGCTTGTAGTAGCGGGTTGGACCCACTTTTGTCTTCAGAACTGCTTTAATTCTCTGTGGCATAGACTCAACACGGTGCTGGACATTCCTTAGAGAGTTTCGTTCATATTGACATGATGGCATCACGCGATCGCTGCAGATTTTTTGGGCTGCACGTCTATAATGCAAATTGCCCATTCCACCACATCCCAAAAGTGCTCTGTTGAATTGAGATCTGGTGACTGTGGAGGCCATTTGAGTACAGTGAACTCCATTATCATGTTCAAGAAACCAGTTTGAGATGATTATAGTAGCTTTGTGACATTGGTGCATTGTCCTGCTGGATGTAACCATCAGAAGATGGGTACACTGTGGTCATAATAGGATGGATGTGGTCAGCAACAATACTCCGGTAGGCTATGGCATTTAAACAATGCTCGGTTGGTATTGTGAGGCCCAAGGTGTGTATGTTAGAAATGATGTGGCTCTGTCTGTCATAGTAGTCAGTGGCGGGAGGATAAAGGTGCAGTATGGCTGTCACTGACTTTCAGTGATATTAAAGCAAAGCAGTCAGAAACCAATATGTCTGGTTTTCTGGTTTAGGAGATCAAATTTGCTAAAACTGAGCCAGCATTGTAAATGCAATATATTTAGTGATCTAACCAGGTCGGATAATGACATGTTTGTGCCCACCCACACCTCCAAGATTGGGATGGCACTGGGTGTAACTGTATGTAAATGCTTGGTGTATGCATGCACACTCCACCCTCTGATGTCTGTTGGCACACTGAGATATATATTTATTTTATGCAATGTTGAAGGTTGACTTCACTCGGCATGTAGTCACTCTAGTTTCAATATACCATTTGTTTTCATAATCTTTTATTTGTTTTGTTTTTTTGTTTTTTTTTGTTATTCCTTGAATACTTTTTTTTTATTTTTAATGCCATGCTGTATATACTTTTATTGGCTCAACATGATGACAAACTGTGCATAAGACAACATTTTCTTATATATTTCTTCACTTTGTAGGTCTTACATCACGGTGCAAAAAACAAATTTTCCGAATAATAAGGAAACTGCCTTTTATTGGCACAAAAGTAAGTAGAAATTATTATTACTGATGTTCCTCACACCTTCCAATATTCTCCTGGAGATGTGATTTGGCGAACCTGATTTACTGGCTACTACGCCAGTACTGAATGTAGGTGGAGTTGCCCAGAAACAAAAGTGAAGACATGCTAAAATGGTCTATAAATGTGACAAGCATGACCCTGCCAGTCAGTATTGGTGAGAGATCAGATCTGGATTATAGTTCGTTATGTGGGATTCCTATTCACTTTTTTGCAACTATGGCAAAATTGTGGGCATTTGTTACATTGTGTACAGACTGTACTCGGAAATCTCATTACCGCCTCAGTTTTGTAAAGCGCTGCACAAACTGTTGCCACTATATCAACCCTCTATAATAATAATAATAACCTTGTGTGATTTGGCTTACTGCACTTCCCAGCAGTTTTCCTCATTACATCATCATCATGTAATTATAGCTGACCTATCCACTTGGCTCTAGTTGGTGAAATAGCCTATCACTTCAGAGGGATTAAGCAAGTATATCTACAATGAAATTTGCTAAAATTCTGGTAATATATACAATTGACCCAGAAAGAGTCATTTTTCCCTTTTAACTTTTCCTTTGTTTTACTTTAAAGCAGACCTCAAGTGAAAACGGACTTTAGGTCCCTATGGTGGCTACTGTCTTAAAAAAAAATCTAATAAGATCAGTCCGCTACTGAACTGTCACATAGAGCCGGCTTTCTCTAAATGTAATGTCCTTCTGTTATCTTCTGCCCAAGTTGGGGCCCCATGCCGCCATGTTCTTCTGTGGTGTCATCTGGAGCCGGCTGTCCTTTTCCGGGTTCTGGTGCCGATCCCTGCCACTTTTTTGCTTACCAGCCGCTCCCTGCTTCTGCAGCGTTCTGGGACTTTGATGGAGAAGGCTGCAGGAGCAGGACACATCATTCTCGCCTAGGCCAAACTGGTGGTGGGAGGGAGACCAGAGTATTTTTTTTTAAAGTAATTAAGCTAGAAAGCACCCAAAAATCAAAAAAGGAGAATTTTTAGTGCAGAGGGTTGGGGGATTGCAGGGAACTAAATAGAGCTGCAACAGTTAATCGATTTAAGTCGATTAAAATCGACGATTGAAAACGTTGGCAACGCCGCTGGCCTGCAGACAATTGAGGGCCCACCTTCTAAAAGTAAGTCAGGAGTGGACTACCCTAGAAATGTAACTGTAGTGATCTGGATGTAATGACATCAGCTTATTTCAATAGTGAGCACTTTTCAATTTAGTCAGAATCCCTCAAGGAAACCTCTTATTGAAAAGGGCCCTCCCCCTCACTTTTCAATAATAAGAGGTTTCCTTGAGAGATTCTGACTAAATTGAAAAAGTAATCGTTAGCTGCAGCCCTAGAACTAAAGCAAAACCTGGGGAGTGAAGGTCCACTTTAATCAAATTGAACAAATTGAGCCCATGGAAATACTAAAAGTATAGTTGTATTTAAGGCTTATCATTTATAGGCCATAAGCTAAGTGGTGCTCCTGCATGATGCCTGAACAAAGATGTTGATAGCCGTGAGGAAAGTGAGAACATTGTCGAGGTGAATAGAAGTAACAAATACCTGTAAGTGTTAAGCTTGCATGTTACTTAGCATGTATGCACGTGACAGGAAAGAATGTATCTGATACTTGGGCTGTTGAAAATATCCATCAGAACACGGATAACACTGACTGACTTCAGTGTCTTCGCTCTGCAGCAAAAGGTTAAGTGGTTCAGCATTATTTGTAGAATTACAATGCATCTATTATCTCTTTTCAGGGAAAAGCTTCATTGTTGGTTTACATAATCAATCATGAGCAAGCGTGCTCTTTTCATGGAACAAAGTGGCTCTGCATTGAGCAGTAGACATTGTATCTTTTTTCTTCTCACATGCTTTGTCCTCTCAGCCAACTGTCACATAGTTTACTAGAGGTCATTGCTCTCCTCTATTCGGTATTATGATGCAATGCTGCTTGGCATTTTCTGGACATCTTGGAAGACTTTTAGCGGCTTAAAGTAAGCAATGTAATTAACCCCTTTCTGTCCACCCTATTGTAAAAGAACCCTTCCCTGCAAGTTCCTAATCTTGGAAAAGGTGTTAACGTCTCATCAGTTGTAGATTAGAGCAAAGCAGGGAAACCAGACAGTGGGTTGTTAATATGGTAAAATAATTTCCTCTAAGAAGACGGAAACATAATCAGTGTAGTATCTTAAATCTAGGCCTTACTGGATGATGACACACAAGGTAAAGCCACATGGGTTGGTCGCCCTATTCATCAGCATTTTAAATATTGGACCGCTCTCTGCATGCTCCGATTAGTCTCTGACCCATATAGTGACCATTTACTTTTTTCATCATCTTCAAGTGCAAACTGAATGCTCTAATGGAACCTATTCACCTTAGGCCAGGATCACCTCTGTCTGTGTCCACGTTTTGTCCTTTTTTTTTTTTTTTTTTCATTATGCGTTGTTGCTTTTTTTTCATGGGTCATGAGATTTTTGCTTTGGCCAGTGAGGATTGATTTCCTGCAGTGAAATCATTGTGGACTTTGGGAAGGATTTGCTTCCTGGGTTTCTTTGTCCTGGTGTTGTCTTGTGTCTGCATTATAAAAATACATCTCTTGGAAATATCTGTATGTCATAGGTCAGTTTTAGTGCTGTCTCCTTGCCACTATGTCCCAAGTCTTCACTCTGTGCAGAAGATTTAAGGATTGCAAAGCTTGCACCACCATCACAAGTTCCAATGCTCATTCAGTTCCTGCAGAGATAGATGGATATGACCTCAGCCATCCTTCTCTTGGAAATATATGTTTGTCTTAGGCCAGTTTTAGTAGAGTTTTCAGACCTATTCGTCATTGTTTTGGCTACAAAGGTTTTGGGCTAACATCAAAAGCTCCCTACAGAATGTCCCAAAATACGTTAACGCTAACACACAAAAAAAAGGAAGATAAGGGCACCTCTAAGAGCAGCAGTATGATGTATTTCCAATAGCCAGACAAAATGTTGCTGACCTTCGGCTACAGCTGGGAAACCACATGTGTACAATCACAGGAAGAGAACTTGTAATGGATCTGTGGTAGCATAAGAATCCGTCTTTGTCGCTCTTCCAAAAGTTCTTTGCACGGTATACTGTTGAAGAATTACAACATATCTAAATATAACTGTGTGGGTAAAAGGACAACAGCCTACAAAGGAAAGGCTCACCTTCTTACATGGCCATGGGTAGCCAACATTACAGTAACATTGCTTATGAATGATGTTTACATGAGGAAGACACTGTAGAAAGGTGATTACATGAAAACACTAGGTATAAAAGACTCCAATTATAATAAAACAACTTGACGTGGGTTCTGAATGACCACCACTTCCTCTTCAGGAGTAAAGGGTTTACTTCCGAAGTGATGATTGCTTCAAAATGCGTTGAGTTGTAGGATTTTTATTATATTGCAAAAAAAATTAAGGAATCTCCACGTCTTCTTTTTTTTTTTTTAAAGAAAGTGCATCTGTTGATGGGCAAATGCATCATGATTTCAGTGGCATTTACAGTATTTTGTAGTAGAGGTTAGTTTGAGATGCTGTGGAGTTCAATCGGAATTCCATCAAGTGCATGTGACCACCTTTATAAGCCCTTGGTTCTCAACTGGTGGGTCGTGACCCAAAAGTGGGTCGCGACCTCGTGTTTTGTGGGTCGCCGCAAGCCTTCCACTTTTCTAGGTGAGAGGCTCCTCAGTCTCCCCCTAGCGCAGCACTGTCAGTTTCCGTGCCAAGCAGCCATTCAAAATATGCTGCCCAGTGCTGAGTGTCAGCTTGAGGTGGGATGGGATGGGGCTATGGCCGCGAGGGAGCTTCATCCATACGTGCATTGCTTACAGCTTCCTCACGTGTCCTGTAGAGGTGTCTGCACCAGAATGACGCCACATTCTGGCTTCCGGCACCTCTACAGGGCGTGCAAGGGAGCTGTACAAGCAATGAACACATAGATGGAGCTCCTTCACAGCACAGCATCCCACACTGGACCCCAGGCTGAGGATCCACTCCAGTTCTTGTAAGGTAGAAAGACTGGGTGGACCTTAAAAAAATTAAAACATTTTTGGAGTTTGTCTGTGGTTGTGTGTGAGATTCTGTCTGTGGTTGTGTATATATCTCAGTGTTTTTGAGGGCCCGTTTACACTAGTACAGTGCGTTAATCGCACAGTACCGTTCGATTAATGCACTGTACCACGCAATTGCACCTACCGTGCATTCTTGTGTGGGACGTGTGTTGCGTTGCCATCCATTTGAAAGGTACCCCAAACGCACCTCCCACCCACAGTTTGTACACCTGCATCGGGAGGCACGATACCCTAATGCCGTGCATTCTATTGCAGTGTGACTTGGGTCGCGACTTGATGACCAAGGACAAATGTGGGTCCTGAGGTTACACAGGTTGAGAACCACTGTTCTAAGCTGCGTTGCGCTGCTTTTGCATTGCCATTGACTTGTATAGAGAAAGCAGTTCTGAAGCAAGCAAAAACCATTGTAGATAGACCCTAAGACCCGGTCAATGCATGCTGTGAAAGATACTTGGCCTTATGTTCACAAATTCTTATCTGCTCTCAAGTGTGAAAACATTTAGGCCTAGATGGGGGATCGGAATCTCATAGCTTTATGTATACATTTTCAAGATGTATCCAGATCCAGCAATCTATAATCTAATCTATGTGCAAATGCATGAAATACCCCGTGTCAGAGATCATCTTTCAGCCAACTTCACCTAATTAATCAAAAATGTTACAGTTGATTTCAATGGTGTATTATTATTGACTGTTATTTTTTTTTTTTCTTCAATCACCATACGTGGTGCAGATTTGGGCCTTTTTACTTAAAGTATATGTGAATCCTAATAATAAACGTTTTCCATTTGCTCCCTTTTTTGGTCTGTTTTAAATATACCATAAAATTGTTGTGTTATAACTGTTAAGCACATAAAACAATATCTGGTGATCCTGCCAAAAAAACAATATTGTCCTGTACACTCTGCAGTGTCAGTGATGCTGAGGTGCTCTTTAGTTGTAGCACACACACTTCCTTTTTGTAGGGTAGCAATGCTGTTCCTCTATATATACCATATAGTGAATACATGTTGTCACCTTTAGACAGGAAGTGTATTACTGGCAGGATCACCGAGTGAAAAAAAGTAGACAAACAAATTGAGCCACCACATCTGAGTTCTGGTAAACTGCAATTTCTTAAAGGAGATGCAAAGTCCCAGCCTATACTATCCTGTTATAACATCAGCATTGTAATAGGAATACATGCTATAGTCGTTTTTTGATCATTCAAATCTTGGAAATTCAATATAAAAATACATATTTATTTTTAATCTTTGACCATAGATATCCTTTAAATTTTGTTCTTGGGTATGGATACGCTTTAATATACCTGCCGCTATCACACAAATTGATGCCAGTATGGGCAGACTTTGACAGAGGTGCTTATCAGAGACCTCTTATAGATATTTGTATTGTTTGTGCTTAATATGAAAGACTAGCTGTAGCTATAAAATGTTCTGTTGCTATTTATGGATGAAAAAAATGACACAAAGTAGTCTGCTGGAGGATGTGACAATATGTACTTGTTTTTTGAACAGATCCAGAAGGAGCTGGATAAAGCTTTGGATGACATGGCTCATCTCGTATTAAATGTGAAAGATGGCGTGAGCTTTGTGACGTCTCTGCCTCGCTCAGGACTGAAGCAGGACCAAGTCATGGAAAAGCTGAAGGAATATTCTGCCCTAAGTAGAACACTTTAAGTATTTCTATCTTATTTCCATTATCATTTTCAAATATGAACTGAAAACCAACAATTGGTGACAGACCAGAAACAGTCAAATCGAATTTAGATATAGTGAGGGATAAAGAGCTCGTCTGATTTGTATTACTGTAGTTGAGCCAATAAGAGCTCAAGAGTCCAGTCTTTTATTATTCTTTTCAAATGACAACAGGAACGCAAGAAAGGGCGAACAAGCTTTAAGTTTAGACCTCATTCTTTCTAATAGGCATTTTGACACTTTTTATAAAGATTACTTTTACTGTTTACTCTTTTATTAATTTTCACATTTATTATTCCCATATTCGGTATCTTTTATAACTCTTATTATTATTATTATTATTATTACATAGTATTTATATAGGGCCAACAGTTTGCGCAGCGCTTTACAATATAAGGAAGACGTTACAATCACAATACAATTCAAGACAAGATGGTAAGGAGGGCCCTGCCCCTGAGGGCTCACAATCTAAAAGGGGAGGGGGAAGTGATACATGAGGAGGTAGCTGTGAGGGGATGAATTATTTGAGAATGTGATAGTTCAGTGGTTAGGTTGTGGTGGATAGGCTTCCCTGAAGAGATGAGTCTTTAGAGAACGCCTAAAGGCAGTCAAGGTGGGAGATAGACAGACAGGTTGGGGTAAAGAGTTCCAGAGAATGGGAGAGACTCTAGAGAAGTCCTGGAGGTGAGTATAGGAGTTGACTAGGGAGCTGGAAAGCAGGCGGTCTAGGGAAGAGCGGATAAAGGTGAACTTTTTGGCCCCTGAAATGCAGAGTCTCCTTCTAGCTTTCCTGTTGTAATTTGGTGAAATAATAAAATCTTGATGTTTGGTGTACTTTTTGCGTCAACTACAACTGGACTCAATTTGGGTAACCCCTGCCTCCTAGGGGAACCCCCATATTTGTGGAGAGCTGCTGAACTTAAGCCAGTAGACCCAATTGACTTTTTTTCTATTGGCCAAGTATATATGTCCAGCTTCTTGTTTAAATCATTGTTTCTTAGATGTATTTCATTCATAACAGGGGCTGTAGAAAAATATTTAGGACTCCGTGTCCTCAATGTCTTTTTCTATGGCTAAGGGAAATATCAGGGGGTCTGAGAGAGAGAATACATAACAAAACTATTAATATACAGAATCATACCGATTGTGTACAAAAATTGTGCAAAAAAAGAATAAAGATATTAGGCTATATGTGCTATTGTGTGTACATCAATATCACTAACCAAAAGTCTATTCTGGGTAATAACAATCTTCACAACTTAGATTGCTGATACCTGGAAGTATCTCTGAATGTAGTAATCATCTAGCAATCTGAAGGTGTTGAAAATATAAAAGGGTGTGGAAGATGGCGAGGATTACTGAGATTTAGAAGTGTGTTAGACATGTATTAAAGGAGAACTATGAGGCGAGTGATTTTCACTCAAACTCATAGTTCGGCTCAATAGTCGGGAAGTGAGCAAACACATACCGTCGCTTGCTCACTTCTCGATCATGTCCCTGCAGTGAGCGGTGACTGTCACTCACGGCTCCCGTGAGTGACCGTTTCAAGAATAGTGACAATTCAAGAATAACAATACAATCTATGTGAGTGACAATTCAAGAATAACAATACAAATTACATTCAAAACCCTGCTTCAGGTATTCTAAACCTATACTATGATCTATTACCATTAAAGTCCGCCAGGGTTCTGATGTAGACACAATAACAACATATAGCACATGTAGCATAATATCTCTATTTGTTTTTACATAATTTCTGTACACTAGCACAGTGTTTTTTTTGTATATTTACATTTTCTCCACAGTTTGTGGGGTTCACAGCAGATGTTTTAGGGATACTTTAGTGCACTCCAACACGGATTTTTGGAATAACAACTGTATTGTTAAAAACTGGCTAGTGAGCTCCCTTTACTGGAGGGCCATCACACGGCTGGCAGGTATACTAGGAAGCCAGATGTGTGTCACTGATAGAGCGTGCTCTATGCAGCTAAATTCAGGACTAGAGGCAGAAAGCTCCATTGATGAAACTGGAAGTTTTAGTCTCCTTTTGATACATGGGGACAGCCATATTTGCAGATCATATTTACGAGCTATGATTCCCGCTTAGTTCTGTTTTCATAGCCATTGTGCCATATGGTTTCTCTCTCTCGACTCAAGCTAAATGAAAACAATAGACTCTCTGTAAGGTTAATTAGGCTTGCATCAGAAGGGGTGCAGGAAAATGTGAGCCATGTTAAAAAAATAGATATTTTTTTTTGTTGACTGTCACAATAACTTTGAATCTTATTAAAAATATACACCAATTCTGGTTTTGCATGCTGTGTGTGTGTGTGTGTCTAATAAATTATAGATAATAATCTATTGTGAGCTATCATATTTCTTAATTCTCTTTTTTATATTGCTGTGCTGTTTATAGCAGCACAGTTCTTGGTAGGGATTCTTGCGTTCCTGTAATGATAAACATATTGTTCTGTTTTAGGTAAGGTGTCTTGGGAAAAAGGGAAGGTTTCTGGGACTGTCTATAGTGGAGATGAGCAGCTAACTCAGCTGCTTGTAAAGGTAAGCAGAATCTGTTTGTTCCAAGGTTATTCCTTTGCTATTCATTGTGAAGAGATGTTCTGTGTGGGGTTTTTTCTCTTCTATTTAAGAATTTTAAGAGTAAGTTCATATAAGAGTAAAAACAATATTAATGTAGATCCTAAAACAAGCCTTGAACCCTGGATGAGTGCAGGCCAAAAGTGGGTTGGAAGTCCTCTTAGAAGGAAAAAAACAAACAAACACAAAAGGACAGCACCTTCTCCCAGTGAAGCACATTTAATTTAATGATAATTTTAATAAAATTGTTAAAAATACTCACAATTGTAGTTGATCAAATGTACATATAGAATGATACCATCCAAACTACAAGCATGGCAGCGGAAGTAACCAGCAATACTCTGAACAGCATATGCTGCATTTTTTTTTATCATTAAATTTAAACATGCTTCTGTGGACCGGACTAGTTGGCTACCACTGCCATTATTGTTGGTGCGGTCCGCAGAGCCTGCTGTCCCCAGTATTTTTGGTTACCTCCACTGTCATACTTGGAGTTTGGGTGTGGGAATTCATTGTACAGTAATCCCCCCTGTTATCCAGCATCCTTGGGATTGGTAGTTTCCAGATAAATGTAGTTTCTGGTTGCTTGAGAGGTACTATTAAGAATAGGTCTAACTAATGCCATACACCATGCTATACCATACTCATATAGGCCAGATTGCCAGATCCTGATATGAAAACTTCCAACACAAAAAACAGATTCCAGGTGCTCGCAACTCAGTCAAAGGTTTTAGACTCGCATAGGCATTAAACAGCAAAGTTATAACAATCAAGGAATTTTAACGTGTTTTGCACTAGATGTGTTTAAGCCTGGAGATACACAGTTAGAATTCATTCGGAAAAAAAAAAAAAGTTTGCAGAACGTTCGCTTGATTTTAATAAAGTTAAAGCGACATTAAAGTCACATTTTTTTCCCCCTTCCCAATCCTGCTGTAGGGACTTATCTTTTAGCGATGTTCTTAATCCAATCTTCTTCTCTGCTGTCCTTTTCATCTGTCCCTCCAGCGCTGGTGCGGGTCTCCGATCCAGCACTGACTCATCAGTCCTCCTCTTCTCTGATGTCCCATGGTGTCTGTGTGGGTGCACACTGCTCCATAGACTTACCTTGTGTCTCTCCTCATCTCCCGGTCGAACATCTGAACTGCGCATGCGCCCGCCCCAAGCTCCTTTAAGGCCGCCTGAGACTTCAGATGTTCGGAAGGGAGCACACGGCAAAGACACAGGTAAGTATTAACCCTTTTTAAAAGGTTTTTTTTAAAAATGTTTTTGTATAGATCTACTGCTAGCCAGCAGTAGATCTATGCAAAAACGCACGAGGGTTTAATAACCCTTTTAATGAGGTTAAACAGATGATCGATTTTAGATCACAGTGGCAAAAAAATTTAAGGGATGGGGAAAAAAATATATATATTTTTTTAAATCAAAGTTAAATAGTGAATGTGCTTTTTATTTGGGAAATTGCATTCATTCCAAAACCAAATGTTGAAACCAACCAAAATTTTCAAACAAACTGTCAGGTTTTTGTTGGCATTGTCAAATGTTCTGACGAGATTTTTCACATGAAAGTTTGTGCAAAAACCCTACCAGTTGATTACCCAGCTTTACTCATTAGTCCTTATGATTAAACACATCTAGAGGGAAACGCTGTAAGGTCCTTGGTTGTTGTAATTCTGCTGTTTAATGCCACCTTGAGGAGAAAAAAAAGATGATGACTGAGCAGTGAGCACCTGGAATCCATTTTTTGCTTTGAAACCACAGGTCATAGTTGACTCACTATATCACATGATTACAATGTGGGCGTAGTTTATGGGGTGTTCAGCTTTAGTATAATGCCTGTGTTTACTCATTCAGCAAACGTAGATATTGCTGGACTTTATGGTTAGAAGCATCTGAAAGCCATGTTGCTCAAAGGGTCCAGTCAGCCCCTTTGTATCAGATGCTGGTTGCTCTGGGCATTTGTTGCATATTTGATGTTTTGGTCATAAAGCCTACTGATTGCACAGTACTTGTAGTCAAATTGTGATGAAATCCTAACTCCTCGTAGTAGCTAACTACATCCATGACATCTGTTCTGTCTATATCCTTGGTTCTCAACTGGTGGGTCGTGACCCAAAAGTGGGTCGTGACCCAAAAGTGGGTCGTGACCCAAAAGTGGGTCGCGACCCCGTGTTCAGTGGGTCGCCGCACGCCTTACACTTTTTTAGGCAAGAGGCTCCTCTGCCTCCCTGTAGTGCAGCACAGTCAGTACTCGTGCCAAGCAGCCATTCAGAATATGCTGCCTGGCGCAGAGTTTCAGCTTGAGGTGGGATTGGATGGGGCCACGGCCATCCATACGTGTATTGCTTACAGCTCCCTCACGTGTTCTATAGAGGTGCCTGGACCAGAGTGACTCTTAATTTGTATGGTACCCCGAATGCATCTCCCACCACATTTCGTATGCCCGCACCAAAACATTCAGTGCCCTAATGTTGTGCGTTCCATTGCAGTGCAACTTGGGTCGCAACTTAATGATCAAGGACAAATGTGGGTCCTGAGGTTACACGGGTTGAGAACCACTGGTCTATATGATGACTTTGATAACTGTTTCGCTCCACTAAAGCAGGAGTAGGCACACTGCAGCCCTCCAGCTGTAGTCAAAACTGCCAATCGCATCATGCATCTGCCTCTGGAAGTCATGCCTGTGGATGTCATTCTTGCAGTGTATAATGTGATTTGTGGTAGCACCACAGCTGGAGGGTCGAAGTTTGCCTACCTCTGCTCTAAGGTATAATTATTCACAAATAAACATTTTTGTGCATGCTGTATTGCTGTCCTCCTCAGGTGTATGGAGAATTTGCTTGGAGCAATCCCTTGCATCCAGACATCTTTCCTGGGGTGCGTAAAATGGAAGCAGAAGTAGTGAGAATGGCATGCACGCTCTTCAATGGAGGCCCCGAGTCATGTGGAACAGTAAGTTTTCTAGTTCTTTGAGTCACAAAACATTATAGGTTATCTCCTGAGACCATGAAAAATAAAAATGAAACGCTTCCTGTCTAGCGATTTGTTTAGCCTCAGATCTTGGATCTATGTCCTGTGGTGAACCTGGTGACTCATCAATTATAACATCATAATGTCACGAAATATTTTAACCACAGGAACGTGCTGAATAATCTTTTATGGTATAGAAGGGGATTTTCTGTTACTAAAGTTTTCTTGAAGTGTTTTTAGGGAGTTTTTTGTTATGTTCTTGTTCATTTAGACATATGCTGAAAAGTGCTTTTGCATTACATTAGGAATTTCAGATATTTTTTTTTTTTCTGTTTTGTGCTGCAATTCTCTAGAGTTCCTGTGGCTCTGAACTTTATGTACCTTCTTGAGCTGACTGTTACAATGATTATTTTCTGCATTTAAGCAAATTCCCTAAGTCTAGCTTTTTTATTTTTACTGGCCCGCTGACAGGCACATTGTTATCGAGCTGTATGCAGGAAATGCATGGCTGCTATCATTTTCATATACTAGATGAGGTTTATAATAACCTTCACGGTGTATATAAGATTTCTAGGTGGTTATCAAACCAAAAGAAATGTAAAATAAAGATGGTATAATGAGATATTGGAGCAATTATCCTCAAACTGCAGCCTGTGGGCCAGATATGGCCTGCTCCTGGATGTTTTCTGGACCGTGACCTAATTAACGATTTGTGGGATGACTGCGGTATCTGGGACCCTTACTGTCATTCATCCAACTGGGGGTAGAAAAACAACTAGAGCACGCCAAGGACTGCTACTGCCTGATGTTGGATAACTAAGTAGCAGGACAGCAGTGGTGATGGTAAGACTTACTGGTATATCAGTGGTCCTGAAATTCATTTGTTAACATGAGCATGCTGTGGACTGCTGCTAAAACCTGATGCTCTCACTGCTGGTGTTCTGCTACTCACTCATTTAGTGTTGGCCTGTGGCAGCAGTCCAACGGAACACACAGTTCACACAGCTGTAACCTGTAAGCCAGGGTGTCCTCAAAGTCTGCATTTGCTCAGTAACTGCAGGTGTATATTTCTGGTGCCAGTAAGGGTTTCTGTGTGCTGATTACATACAATACAGCACAACACTGCACATATTAAGCAAGGAAAACTGTAACCTTTGTGGGCAAGCTGTGCGTAATTCAAAAACTCTGGCAAAACCCTGCCCTTGTATCCAGCCTCACATTCTCAAAGTCCTTTTAAAGCTTCCTGTCTCTTTCACTCCCAGTCCGATTTTCCCCCCCCCCATACAGTCTTGAGGACTGTGAATTGAAACTTTGATTTAAAAGGTTTGAGAACCCCAACAACAGAGCTTTCTTGACCTGCAGTGATGTTTAGTATGAGGAGTGGAACTTGTAGATCTTCCTGCTGGAGTGTTGGTAAGTTCAATCAGTAGAAGTGCTTATAATTGCACATGGAGGTTTCCTGTATAGTTCAACTATACGTTCGCTCCAACCATTTTCTTTTCCCAGTATTTCACTGCGCATGCATAGCTTACACCTACTGTACTGGTTGTGTTGCAGAGAATTACTTTAGATCCTGACTGTGCAGAAAAGTATTAAATGACGGACACTGGTCTTGCTGTCCATTTTGTACTTTTGTAAGCTATCTGTGCAAGCCCAAGTGTGTGCCCATAGATATTCTATGGAGGTCAGATATTAATGTGAGATCCAACCAACCTTAGGCACTGCACTCTGCCCCCTTACCCACAAAGATAGGCTTGGCCAAGACACACTGAACATGGCATTTTGGTGCAAGGCCTGTTACTGAAGAGCTATGTGACTGAATATCAAGATGATATAGGCATAGTGCTTGCTGTTTATTCTGCAGTTTACCTAACTGTTTTGTTCTTACCCTATGCATCTAAACTGCGTTTTGTCTCATGTACAACTAGCTCTCTATATAACCGTTAGAATGTCTTGAATAGTGTATATTGGAATGGCCTGTGTCTTTAGTTGAGCGAAATCTTAATAAAAACTTGTCAAAAAAAAAAGATAGGCTTGGCCAACTTACTACAGAGAGCGCAGTGAGAAAGAGACAACTGGCAAACATTGGCAATGCCACTTTTTAGAGAGGAACATTTGCGATTAGAAAAAGTTTGCATATACTGTATAAGATTTGCTCACTGTCACCCGAGGTCGTTTGGATCATTTTAGGATGTTGCCCAGTAGAAATATGCAACAGATAGACCGGTGTAGCACGGAACGAAACTGTTCTGATTTCTTTCATGTTTTATATTCTGATCATCATCATCGTTCTTTAAATCTCTTTGAAAGTAGCCGGTGAAGTTCATTGCTTTGTTTGCCTGGCTGTGGTTACAGCTGTCTGCTCTGGGTCACGGGCAGCTGATGTTACTGATCTGTCAGCAAACAGGAAACATGCGGAGAGTCATCTGTACAGCATAGATCTTTGTACAAACTGTCTTGCTCAATACAGCCTCAAGATGAGATCAACAAACACGCATATCCAGCTAATTGCTTCATAAAGTTTACTTGACTGGCTTTTCACACATTTTACAAATGCATTTCTTCATACTGCAGTAGGTCAGATGTAAGGCCTTTCGTAAACCAAAAGCATTGCAGTAGTTTTTGAAGTGTTCTCAGTAGCATGTGACTATGTGTCAAGTAATTTCTACAGTCGGTGACAAAAACTACATAGAACTCTCTTTTTTTGTTCTAAGTCTCATGAGTTGCGTTAATGTGCGTTAAGCCGTGCATTAATGTGTTGCAGCAATGTGTTAACATGAGTTTTCAGTGTGCTGCACCGTAGTGGCGTTCCATTTGCGTGTTGAAGTGTCATTGAGAATCAATCGCAGCACAACACACCAATGCATGCATTGTGCAATATCTTAACACATAGACATAAAGCCAGCCTTTGTCAGTAACTGGACTGTTGACCCATTTAAATTGTATTCAGAGTTTTTTCACACTTCAGCTATAATATAAAAAAAGTGAAAGATTACAGGTCTACTTCAACACATAATAGGTGGAGCTGGAATATTAACAGTAGATGATAGTATTTTATGTCTGTCAGCTGTCCTGCTGGCTCTTGTCAATAAAAGCTTGAGATTAGGTCTACATGTTGACAGTCACTGTAAGGCCTTGTTCACACCAAATGCAGAGCAGATCCGCTCAGGTTTCTGCACACGCAGTGCAGTGGGTTGTGCCGCGTTTTTTGCAGCGTTTTTGATGTGTTCGGGGACGTTTTTGGTTAAAAATATCTATATATTTATATACCGTATTTTTTGCTCCATAAGACGCACTTTTTTCCCCCCAAAAGGAGGTGGAAAATGTGCCTGCGTCTTATGGAGCGAATCCCGACGCCCGAGACATGCAGTTTCGGGCGCCGGGCGAGTAGTAGGAGCCACTGCTCGTTTAATAGGAGTGATCTAATGAGATCACTCGTATTAAAACCGATCAGCGTCGACGATCGAGATCACCATAGAGCAGACGAAGAACGGAGGTTCTTCGTCTGCTCTGTGTGATCACTGAGGCCGTGGCGCAGTAATCACAGCGCCACCTGTCTCAGCGGTCACTAACTGCAGCTTCAGTCACAGCTTCTGTCATAGAAGCTGTGACAGAAGCTACGGTCTGTCGAGTGCTCCATAAGGCACGCCGGACCTCCCTGCGTCCTATGTTCCGGTGCGTCTTATGGACCGCAAAATACGGTGTATATATTTTTTTTTTTTTAGTTTAAAATGGACTTTCAGTGCGCTCCAGGCGTTTTTGATGCGTTTGCATGCGTTCCGGAGCAGGTTCAGCTGCAGTTTTTTTTAGCTTGTCTGGAACTGAACGCTGCAAAGTGAACTGGAGCTAAAAATACCATTGGAATACATTGGACGCAGTTTTGCTCCGGTCTGTAACTGCTCTGCTCTGCACCTGCTCCGCGCTTGGTGTGAGCAAGGCCTAAGGGTGGGGTATGCTAGTCAGGCTAGTGGGACAAGACTAGAGTTTTCCAACATACTATGCTCAATCTTCCAACTTTTCTTTTTTTCAGGTCACATCTGGAGGTACAGAAAGCATATTGATGGCCTGCAAAGCCTACAGAGATCTGGCATTTGAGAAGGGAATTAAATACCCAGAAATGTATGAGCTACTTTTATTTAATTCATTGTCTCTTCATTATTTCAAAAGAATATGTACATTGTTCCACAGATGTAGCATCGCCTTACCTTCTAACAAAGTGCAGCATGGTTTAGACAAGACTATGGAAATTTCCCTTAGGGATTTTGTCCCATGCTGACACAATAACATTGCGCAGAACAGGGCATGTATTATTATTAATTATTATACAGGATTGTTATAGCGCCAACAGTTTGCTCAGCACTTTACAATATAGGGAAAACATTACAGTCACAATACAAATCAAGACAAGATGGTAAGGAGTGAATCCTGTCATATTCCTGTCTCAGAGGACAGCGGTATCACAGGCATTGTTTAAGTGTTTAAATTGTTGCAGAACTTGCTGGGCACGGTTTGTGTTCCGAAAAACACATAGTGGCAGTAGAAGTTTGGTGGGTAAAGGGTTAACTACGGCGTTAACCAACCCTGGTGACGATCGCTCTGTCTGCTAGCCTGAGATTGTGTCCTGCGAGCTGGGAAATCTCTGTGCAGGGTGAGGCTGAGAGTGCTATCGCCACGTTCTTGTGACTCTCGCGCTCGGTTCAGACTTGTGTATGGTCACGTGGGATTGACGTACAGCGGGTCTGGGCCGGACGTACGTCACATATTGTATGTATGTGTTGGAAGCTGTCATGAATCTGACAGCTCCCTGTGCATTAGCGGTTAGGACACAGGTCGTTGGAGTCTTAACAAATACTTATGCCGCCACGGCTCACATTCATCTGCCGGTGTAGGATTCCCCATCCAGAAGCTGAATGTAAACAAAGGGGCGGGGATGCTGGCTGATATCACTATCCAAAAATGGCCACATTTGGGCAATATCGGCCAGAATTCCCCCCTTGTTTACATTTCATTGACAGCAGGCACAGGGCAGGTGGCATAACCAATAGCAGGCTGGCTTTGGCACCTGAGTGCTGTCAATCAGCAGCAGAGCGGACCTGATTGAGAGCTCAGTTCTCTAAATTCCTCATTAGGCTTGGCCCACCCACAGTATACATATCTTCTAGCTCTACACTTGCCTGTGTGGCAGGGACAGAGGGTGGGTGGGAGCTCAGTAATGCTGAGCCTGTAATTTTATCAGGATTACTGAGTGGCATTAAGGACGGAGTGTCTGGTATGGACAATCTGGCCTCATTGCTCCTCCGCACCGCAAATGTTGGTGCTTGCACCAAATTCATGTACCTGTAGTAAAACCAGGTGCAAGTAGTGACATTTGTAGTGCATGCATGTAGGGCTGCAACAACTAATCGACATAATCGATTATAATCGATTATTTAAAAAGTTGTCAACTTTTTCAATAATCGATTAATCGGCTTCCGATCAGTTGGCCCTGTTCAAGGGTCCACAAACGCGCACCGCCCCTCCTCCCCAACTCACGCTCACCGCTGCCAGACCCGCCCGCATCCGCGGTCTACACGCCGCACCTCCTTCCCGCCTCACACTCTCCGCCCGCCCACATCCACGATTGGCACAAGGATTACATTATACAGCACAATGCAGAATACCACCAGCTATAGAGGAGCACAGCAAATCCCAGCAATAGTACATTATACAGTGGTGCAATGCCGAATACCACTAGCTATAGAGGAGCACTACAAATCCCAGCAATAATACATTATACAGTGGTGCAATGCCGAATACCACTAGCTATAGAGGACTACAAAACCCAGCAATAGTACATTATACGGCGCAATGCAGAATACCACCAGCTATAATGTACTATTGCTGGGATTTGTTGTAGTCCTCTATAGCTGGTGATATTCTGCATTGCGCTGTATAATGTACTATTGCTGGGATTTGTAGTCCTCTATAGCCGATGCCATTCTGCATTCATTGCTGTATAATTTTACACTTTCCATTTCACTATATTGCACACCACACCATTTTTTTACGTCCACCGCTCCAAGCTTGCTCCTGTGATCCATTTTTTAAAATGTATGTTATTGTTTATCCGATTAACCGAACTTAATAATCGGCTAACTAATCGATTTTGAAAATAATCGTTAGCTGCAGCTCTACATGCATGATAGCTTTCCTAAGCGTGTCGTAGACACTATTAATGAATTCCACTGATTGTAGTGAAAATGCTGCTGGCTGTCCCTGGCTTCAGTAGTTTTGGAATCCTTGACCTGGAAGAAGTATGCAGCAGATGTAATCAGAATGCAGTCAGAATTCCTGATCTGCATGCTTGTTCTGGGTCAGTAACCTAGGAAGTATTGAAACCATTAGATAAGCATGATGACCAGACAGCTAGCATTTTCAGAAAGTGAGCAATGGCATATTTCTTTTAATAGAAGTTTACTTAAATGATTACCTATAGAAATGCCACTCCCTGAATGTGTTAATCAGCAGTTGTCATTGTAGAATGTAAAAAAAAAGCCCTTAAGTGTTATCAGAAATGCCCCCCCTATATTATGAGAAATTGATACCAGCCCCAAAAATCCAGCATTGTCCTCTTCTCAGCTGCAATTCTTGTAGTGTACTTCTTGTTTCG